AGTTGGTGTAATTCTTCACAAACCTGCAAAACGTCTAACAATTTGAACCGACACCTTCGCCAACTCAAACTTGACGCAGCGATACTTCCTGAGGCCGTATGCCACCTCGCGTAAAGGGTAGAAATTTCTTCAAACTTTGTAAGCAAGAATAAAAACCAGCCAAAAATAAAGGAACGATTTCAAGAGAACAAGGAAATGGAGGAGATTTTCTTCACAATTCTTCTCGTACAACCCAAAACGAAGAAGTCGCGGCATCTACGGCAGCCAAAAACTAAGCAAATATTTTCAGTACACAAGAAGGCACAGAAACGTAGAACCGCACTCACTTGATTTTCACATCACCAACATTGATCCAGTTGGTGAGAGCATCTCCGCCATTATGTCTTTGAGTCTCCATTACAGAAGTAACGGAAGCACTAAAGGTCCACTACTTCTGCAGCCCGTGGTCGCATACAATCTCTCACAGAAACCTTAACGGCTAAGCTTAGTTCCACTGTAACAATGAATAAAATTTCCGGTTGTCTGGATTAACTAGCAAGATTTCAAAGACGAAATAATGGCAACAAGAAGAGCAAAATCTCGCCCATCCCTTTGTCGCAGGACACGAAGGAAATACTTCAAGGCACAGCAAATACTGGTTCAGACCAGATCAGAACCAATGGCCGGTGATATTGTGCAAGCATTTATTGCCAACCAACAGGATTATGAAAAACTAGTCTATACAACTCGAGAAAAGCTTGGCTTTCATAACGCAGAGGTACATATTTGAGAGCGCCAACTCAAGCCTTCCCTTACATTTGTGCAAAAAACATCAGTTCAATCATTCAGATACGAAAGAGATCAAAAACACCGACAGAATGGAATAGGAAAAAAAGGTCAACGTTCAAGATAGGGTGAGCATAATGTAAAAGAATTATCGAAAGCAATCAACAGAAGCAGAAAAGTGGCTAATCTACCAGTCATCACCAGTGTCCTTTGCCGTTCCAGCACCTCTTATGATCTTCATTTTTGGGGGTTCCGTCTTCACTTTCTCAACTCTTATTACTCCAGACCGTGCCAGCCGAGTCTCCAACACCTGAAAAACCAAAAATCATCTAAGAAACCACAAACAAACACCTGAAAAACCACCTCCGTTTTGAAATCGTCGATGCCACCCAAATCGTCAAAGCCTCTGATGTAGTCAATGGTCTGCTGGTCCTTCACTATAGCGATTGTGGGAATGACACGAATGTTAAGACGAGTAACGATGAAGGGAACCTTTAAACAAAAATTTGTACAATTGAAAAACATCATTCCCTCTACAAACACACCTTTTCTGCGTTTACATGAATGAAGCGAGTTCCTGTGTGCTTCCTTGCTAGTATATTCAGATGTTTATCCACTATTTTGCACCTGGAACAAAAGCCTTCCGATGTTAGTCATGATTAGCAAACTAATGCAAAACACATTATTTCTAGTTATGTGTCCTCCTTAAAACCACGAATCTACCAAATCTCATTCCAAGAAAGTACTGCATAATCACAAAAATAAGAATGGTCTCTCGAACCAGCTTCAGGGAGTCCCTCGGTGGTAATTTTTCTTCCCATGCACATCCCTGGCATTTCCATTCAAGTCGCATTTTTTTCTCACTTCGTCGACAGAGTGAACAGACTCTCACTATACTCGATTGCCCATATATGAGGGGACTTACCTACTTCCTTTTCAACTGATCTTCCTATGCTCTCTTGCTCTTCTACTTCGTTCTCAGTCTCCGATTCGTCAACTACCTGAACCATACCTACCCCCTTGCAGCCTAGAGACAGTTCCTCTCAGACTGCCGCGACTCCCGTCGCGGACTTCAACAACTCTATTTTAATTTTAATTTAGGTCTCACATTGTTTAATACACATTTAGATCGACATGAGACTTCGGGACAGAACAATTCTAAGGTAACTCTATTTCAGATAATGAAGTGTTCAGAATTGGTGGCCAGTCGTTAGCGAATCGCGCATCACTAGCGATTGATCGCAAGGTCTGACATCTGCTCAAGGATAACACATTAGGTGGTGCATTCCGTTATTCAAATTTCGGACTCTATTAAACACTAGCACCGCATCTATCTGTATTCCATCCCCAAGTCTCTCGCAGAAAATATGGTACAGAAGAGTGAAAAGCATGAAGAAGATGCGAAAGGTTTCGACAAAAAAGTGTCGCAATCGAGTGAACGCATTTATCTCCGAATAATAGTAAGACATAGTGTAAGTCTTCCCTTGTGTTCAATGTGAACGAATAATCTTCCTAATTTCATTGAAGGGTCATGTGGAGGTCTGACCCTCACCTTTAGAGTAAGCAAACGTCATTGTGACCTTCATGACAAAAAATCCTTCGCTTGAACAATGTCTCATCAGCGCTATACCCCACCCTGGTTAAAACAGGATGATAATAGGTGATTCCATTAAAGGCATGCCCCAGGATCACATTGGTGTGGCTCTTGCACACGAATGCGAATGTATTGGTGCGAAATGGGCCGGCAGTAAAGAAAAAAGGAAAAGAATCCGTCGAAAACGCTAGGTTAAGGGCTCACTCACCTTCCTAATCGGCTGTGCTAAGGGAATGAGAGACTAAGCGCGGAGAGGAGAGTATGAGGCGAGAGAGCGCTACAGATGAGAGAGCGCCAGACAACAGCCTGATAAGAGAAAAAAGTCTGCAGCTTCAGCAGCTTACTTTGCAAGGCCCAAGCGCTCTTGTCGGTTGGTTTCCGTGCACGAGAACGCCACATTTGTGATTGTCCTCTAGGGGTCTATACTACAGACCTAAAGGAAGCGTTCACACGACCGTTGCCTGGGGTGTGCCTTTAAATTCACACTTCGCGGCTTTCACGCAATTTCAGGATTCCTATCGGACTGATCAAGCCCACCTCATGTTTCCATCCAGGTAGAATAAGCAGACGACATTCTTACTCTTCTTCGTTGCTTCGAAGAACTCTTTCTCATCAGCAACTTCACTGTAGGTACCGTGACCGACTGCTAGCATTTCCTAACGCAAAATTAATGGAGGACTCGAAAGCTCAGTGATTTATAGAAGAAAGAATCAAACCTGTTTCGCTTTTTGCACTTTCTTCATCTCCTCTAAACGACGTCGCCGAATTATCTCGAGTTCATCCTCATCCATGTTGTCCAACCTTTAACAATGCAGGCAGCCATTCGGAAGTACAGCACACTTTAATCCTTTATTAAAGACAAGGATCCAGTACTCCGACCCACCTATTCATTTCACTGTC